TTGGTGGCTAATGTTAAAGAAACAAATTATTGAATTACAGTTAAACTCAAAAGGCTAGAAAACAGCATCACTATAAAAAAACAAATAGTACCGATGCTTCATTTGCCTTATTGAGATAATGCCCACCTTATCTCACAGTATTCATATAAAGATAAAATGAAATAATTTTTGAACACATTTAGAAAATTATAATGATGTGTGGGGTACCAGCCCCCACAATCAAATGGATCCAAGGTTGTGTAATTGAGGGGTAAAATTAAAGATACTGGCATGCAATTGCTTACCTCTGGGACAGCCATGATCTCAGCAGCCGGGTCTGCGCAGAGAGCATGAATATATTTCCAATCAGGGCATATATACATTTCAGACCCTTGCAAGCCCCCCTAATTACATCGTAACAGTACGGGGTTTTCCCATAGACATACATGCAATAGAAGGGGAGGTGCTAGGGCTGGGGTGCTCAATACATCAATTGCGATCTACTAGTCGATTGCAAATGTACTGTGGGTAAATCGTATGGCATTGAAAAATAGACTTAAGCCTATCATCAGTCCCATCACTTAACTGATATACAGCGCAGCCAATCAGATGCAATCTTAGGTGTCAAATGCATGTGCAAACAACCGCGCTAAGTGCAGCAAAATTGTCAAGCTAGGTTATCGCCAATTTTTAGACCTTGTTTTCCTTTTCTCTTAAACGTAAGAAAGGGCACTAAAATGAGTGGGGGAGCCGGACCAAGTAAGAAGACAAAAATGTATCACTTTCATACGGAATGGGAGATTTCGACACTACAAGCCGACATTCAGCTGAAGTCCAGAGCGCATGAACAGTTCTGGAACTTACTCACGGACGGTAAGCACCCAACATGAGAAAATGGGCTACCTCCTTGACTGCATTATTCCGCGCTACTTATTTATGTCAGACAGCCTTTTCCCACATAAAGATCATTAAGTCCAAGCACCGTTCCACCATGACTGATGATCATTTGGAAGTGTGTTTGAGGCTGGCTGTCAGCAGCTACTGTCCGCACTATGCATCCCTGGCTCATTCCATTCAGTGCAAGTCATCAGAGTAAACTCAGGTAATGACAAAAAATAGACATAGTTAATTGTGTTGTGTTGTGCAATATGGACTCATGCAGTTTTGCAAGGTACATAAACATACATTGTACATATAAAGAATTCTCAATGCATTTATAAATAAATGTAATAAATAAAAATAACTATATGTTTTGCATTTTTGTAGTTGGTAAATCATTTTGGCTTGACCTTTTTATACGTAACTCGCATGCTGAAAAAGTGTGAGCACCCCTCCCCGATGGGTACACATGTGACAAGATAGGTGGACTCTAAATTCAAGATGGCAGCCTAACTTTGGTCCTCCTTGAGTTGACTGACCTTTGCTTTAGGCTCTCCTTTAGGGGAGCAATTCGTTATCCTTATCAGCAGGGAGTAGGCCCCGCCTAGGGTGGGGCAGACCATAAGGTCTGACTGCTCTAGATGACTGATAACCCTCAGGGAGGTAACCTCTAAGCAGTTGACCGCCAAGTGTATAGTCAATGACCATGTGTTCTTAGGTTTGGCATATATTATGGGGGGGACAACCTGGGGAAAGCCTTTCGGTATCCCACAATGATGTACTATTTTTCATCTGATCTTAGATGTAAAGATCTGAGATCGCATCATTTGTAAAATGTACCATTAATTTATATACCACTGAGAAGGCTTGGTGGTATAGTGGTCATCAGTTCAAAACCACCAGCTGCTCGCAGGAGAAACACGGGGCTTTCTATTCCTGTAAAGAGCTACAGTCTTAGAAACTCGAAAGGGCAGTTCTTCTCTGTCCTACGGGGTTGCTGTGAGTCAGAATGGCCTTGATGTTAGTGAGTTTGAAGAAACAATGCAGGCCATGTAAAACTTACCACAGGCGTTGTTGATAAGTGCCATGGAGTCAGTTCTGACTCACTGCAGCTCTCTGTACCATGAAAGGAAATGCTGCCCACTCCTGCACTACCTGCCCAGTCCTTGCCATTCCTGAGTCCACAGTTGTAGCCAGTGTGCCAGCCCACCTTGTTGAGGGTCTTCCTCTTATTTGTTGACCCTCTACTTTACCAAACATGGTGTCCTTCTCCAGGGACAATTTTTTTTTGGTTCTTCTAGCCCATTCAATATTCTTCACCAATATCATAATCCAAATGCATCAATTCTTCTTTAGTCTTCCTTAGTCACTGTCTAGCTTTCACTTGTACATGAGGCACCTGGAAATATGATGGCTTGGGTCAGGTGCACCTTAGCCCTCAAAGTGAAATCTTTGTTTTGGAACACTTTAAAGAAGTTTTTTGTCACACACAGTTGCCCAATGCAATATGTTGATTTCACCACTGATGCTTTCCTGGGTATTGATTGTACATCCAAGTAAAATGAAATCATTGGCAGTGTCAATATTTTCTGTGTTCATCATGCTGTTGCTTATTGGTCCAGTTGTGAGGACTTTTGGTTCCACTATGTTGACATGCAATCCCTACCAACGCGTGTCGATCTTCATCAGAAATGCTTGAAGTCCTCCTGACTTTCAGAGAGCAAGGCTGTGCCATGTGTATAGCACAGACTGTTAATGAGCTTTCCTCTAATATGGAGCAGGGTTCTTTTTCACATAGTGCAGCTTCTTGAATAATTTGCTCAGCATACACAATGACTAAATATGATGAAAAAATGCATTATAGACCACACAGTGCCCCCTTGTTCGGTTTAAATGACTGCCTTTTAGTCCGTGTATAGGTCCCTCCTGAGCACAATTAGGTGTTCTGGACTTCTCATTCTTCACAAGGCTATCCATAATTTGTTATGATCCACACAGTCCAATGCCTTGGCATAGTCAATAAAACACAGGTAAACATCTTTCTGGCGTTCTCTGTTTTCAGTCAAGGTCCATGTGACATCAGCAACGTGGTCCCTCGTTCCACGGCCTCTTGAATGTCTTAGTCCAGTCTGTATACTGCTGCGACGGGTTTGCGATGACCTTCAGTAACATTTCATCAGTGAGCGGCACGAATGACATTCTATCATTTCCACGTTGCGTTCATCACTTACCTTGAGCGAGCTGACTCCCAAGCGGGCTTTTCAAGCCTGACACCGAGCGGGAGGCCACGTGGTACAGCACCAGCTGAAGCAGGCCCTTCCCGCGGCGTGTGGGCCGCCACGCCGCCCGCTGACGTGCGCGGCCCCGCCCCCTGTGGCCGAGGCCGCGACCCACGGGGTGGGCCCCGCCCCCGCGCGCGGCCGTGCGTCAGCCGGCTGGGCGGCGTGCAGGCGTCGCGCTGCCACGTCTGGCAGCGGCTCGTCCCCGGGACCGTGGCGGTCCCAGTGGCGCGGTGGGAGGAGGAGGAGAAGGAGGAGCTGGCGGCGGAGCCGGATCCGGATCCGGTACGGTGCACGCCGCGAGGTTGGGGTCCCGCGGGCCTGGAGAGGATCGCCGGCTGGGCGGCCTGTGAGGGCGAGGAGGTGGGTCCGGGGCGCGGAGGGTCCTGGGGCGGGTCCCTCGTGGGGCCTGCAGTTAGTTGGCACACAGGTGTGTCTGCTGCCCTTTGGCGAGGCGCGCTGGCCCCGGGCGGGCTCGGCGGGAGCCAGGCGTGTGTTTGCGCCAGCTCTGGGGACCGGGGTGCGGAGCGCCGCGGCTGCGGGCAAGTTGAGGAAACTGGCGCCTAGGGCAAAGGTGAAAGGTGCAGGGTCGTGTCCTGGAGGTTCAATTCATGCTTACCCGGGCTTTGGCTGGAGGATGGAGACGGTGCTCGCTGTGCCCGGTCTCCCGGCAGGGAGGCGCTGTTCTGAGTAGCACCCTGCCGCGGGCACGGGACTGGACGGCGGCTTTTACTGGAGGGAGGGTGGGAGGAACCACCTTTGTCTGTTTTTATCCCCGCAGGCTCCTGCCCCTAGGTAGCCGCGAGGGCTGTGGTTTCGGTTCTGGGAGCGTATGTTTATGTAAGCCCAACTCTTAGAAATCCGAGCAAAAATTGAACAGGCGATGGTGGGATTCTTGTAGGTAGGATATCCATTCATTAAGGGATCCTAGCATGGACTCTCAAGAACCATTTAGATGAATTCTGCTTAGGTAGTACACGCTGACGCGTGTTAGATGGGAGCGACAGAGCTACCTGTATGCTGATGGGGACCGGAAAACGTGCATCTATGGCGTCTAGGATTGAAGACGATGGGAAAAGAGAGGACGATACTAGTGCTGGGTAAGCAAAAGTCGTGACATTTCTTCATGATCCGACTTCCCAGAAGGAAGGCCTAGATGGTAAGGAACAAGGAGCCCTGGTGGCGCAGTGGCTTGAGCACGGGGCTGCTAACCGCAAAACGCTCCCCGGGAGAGAGATGAGGCTGCCTGGTCCCGTAAAGATGTACAGTCTCGGGAACCCCGCTGTGGTCACTATGAGTTGGCATCGACTCCATAGCAGTGATAGTGATATTGAGTAGATTGTAACTTGAAAATTCTAAAGTGACATGTAAATGCACGATTTAACAACTATGGCCAAGACTTTTAACTAATCAGCATATGACGTTTCTTAGGTTAACATTTTAGATCACTATTAAACTTGTTATAAAATAAAAGTACATGGATAGCCCTAGAGTCAACCCAAGAAGTCCTGGTGGTATAGTGTTTATGTAATTGCCTGCTAACTGAAAGATCAACAGTTCAAAACCAGCAGTTGCTCTGTGGGAGAAAGATGAGGCTTCTTACCTCCATGAGAATTTACAATCTCATCAACCCACAGGGACAGTTCTACTGTGTCCTGTAGGGTCACTGTGAGTGAGAATTGACTCGATGCCAGTGAGTGGGTGTCAGCCTGTCCCCCTTTACCCTGTTCACCAAGGACTGAACCAATGTAGTGATACTCAGTCCTAGAGATACATGACAGTTTAACTTTGACTTTAGGATCATGTTACATTTTTAGATTGTCTTTTTAAATCTTCTGCCCTGTGTCTAATACATGTTGCTCTCCATTGCTTGCTTCTACCAACAGATCTTCCTCTGTTTGAATAATAATCTGCTGTAAAGCAAACCAAACCGAACCAATCGCTGTTGAATCCAGTCTGACTCACAGGAACCTATAGGACAAGGTAGATGTGCCCCATCAGGTTTCCAGGACTTCCCAGTGGGGAATCAGGCTGCCTTATTTTTCGCCAGAGAATCTGATAATGGGTTTGAACTGCCCATACTTTCATTTAGTACTGGAGTGCTCAACCACCTGGAGTGCTACCAGGCCACCTTCTAATCTGGATAAAAAAATTTAAAACTGCCATTGAGTTGATTCCAATTCACAGTTGATCCTCTGTAGGGTTTTCTCAAGAGCAGCCAGCCTTATCTTTCTGCCTTGAAGCAGCTGGTGGATGTGAACTGCCGACCTTGCAGTTAGCAGTCCAGCGCATGACCCACCACTACTCCTTTCCTGGGCCAGCAGGAAACTGGAATGTTGACATTTCGTGTAAAGAGTAGCCAAATGATGAAAATCTGATGTGATCTCGGGAAAACTGTGTTCAATGTGTGTGTTTTGTGACATCACTTGTTGTAGTTGGGGAGTCTTATTTTTATCCCTTCTTTTGGGAATTATTTTATATTCATTCAGTAGGTTTGGGGGTGTGGTTAGACATCAATAGGTCTTATAAGTGCATGCTAATTTAACAGGTAAATGGAAGGTTTGTGAGAATATCTAAAGAGTGATAGGATTTACTTTTTTTAAATCTTGTGATAATAAAATATTGCCACTTTAGTCATATTTAAGTGTATAATTCAGTGGAATTAGTTGCTTTGGCAATGTTGGGCTGCCATCATCACTGTCTAGTTCCATAATGTTTTCATCACCTCAGGTAGAAATTCCACATCCACTAAGCAATAACTTAGGGTTTTTTCAAATTAATAATCTAAAAGCATTTTTGAGGGCCCGATGATAATGTATGAGCTCAGACAAGTGTGCAATTTCATTTACTGATATTTTCCAGCAAATTCTTCTTTGTCTACATATGGATAGTTTTCAGTACCTGTGTTACCTTAAGATGCAATAGTACAATATTTTTTCATAAACCAAACAAAGTTGCCTATTGAGTTCTTTCTAAAATCCTTTGAAATTTGGTATCAAAATCATCTTACTTTGTAACTTGCCAAGTATATTATTAGTTGGGCACTGGTTGAATGTTAATGTTTTAGGAAGGGTTGAGATAATGAAAGGTAATCCTAACGTGGGTCTGTTTTGTAAAATAGCTCAGAGAATGTTGCTATGAATTTCTGAATGCCTGGTTAACCGGTTGCTGTCAAAGTGGGTTCTGACTCTGCTGTTCCCATACGTGTCAGAGTGGAAATGTGCTCTGTAGGGTTTCAGTGGCTGAGTTTTCCGATCACCGGGCCTTTCTTTGAAGGCATGTGTGGGTGGACTTGACTCACCAGTCTCTTGGCTAGCAACCCAGTGTGTTAATCACTGGTGCTACCCAGGGACGCTAGTGCCTGCTTCCAGGATACTTACTCGGAGCCAGAATGGTCTGTCTAATCTATTGCGGCTAGTCTTCAATTCTTAGTTTCAAAATATTGGTTCCAAGTGCAGCTTTTGACTAAAATCTTAACTCTTGTAGAACAAAAAGAACAAGATGCAGTAGTGAAGAGCACAAAGTTTGGAGTCATAATGCCTGGCAGGACAAGCCACATGATTTGTGGCAACCCCCAATGCAGTGAAAACACGGGGCTCCATGTTCAGAAAAGTGGAGAACTTCCAGACAGTGACCGCCGGAAATGAAACCAAGCGTGGGCTCTTATCGGGACAGGCCTGTGCCAGTGGAAGTGGCCCTGCAGCCTTGTTTGGGATTTTTACTCTGCTTCTTATTAGCTCAGTAACGGCGAGCAAGTTACTGTGCCTGCTTCCTCGTCTATAAAGTGGGGATAACAAAGAGACATCATCCTTCATGGTGTTTTTAAGCGTTAATTCAAAAGTGTGAGGTTATTTTTAGGATCATTCATGGAATAGGAGCAAATGCTTAAAGAAAAACAGAAAAATGATAGTATTTTCTAGTTAGAACTGATTGGTGGAGGGTTT